GTTATGTTGAGCCATTACGTATCCAAAGTTACGCTGCCACAGGGCGTCCGCCTTAACAGAAGGTACGGAATTTATGGTGAATGCATGCCCCAGCTATGTATGGCGATGAGACATACTCATATTTAATACGTAATAAATAGAATTTGTGATGTATTAGTCGAAATTGGTGGGATGACCATTATTATGAAAATTTCTATATTTTTCTTTTTGCAAATATTCTTCTATATGTATTGCTTTACTTCGCTAAGTTAGATAGTATTAGATTGTACACGGGTCCGAAACCCAAGACCTGAGTTTGAGACCCTTAATCGAGGTTTTAGATCAGGGTTCGAGACCAAGATGTGGGTTCGAAACCCTTCGGATGGGAAAATGTATAAATACAGCGCATGCTCTAGCAAAATAAAAACTCTTTCCGCTTGACCTTAGCGTTAATAAAGTAGAAGTGCGTAAATACACGTGATTAATAACATTAGAGTAATATACTTGCCCGTGACGAATCGAGATGATACGTGATTACCTTCCTTAACTTTCGATATCCTGTATCCAACTCGTAATGACCCTTCTGGAGCACTATAGTTCGATATAAGGGTACCAGATCGACCACCCAACCCGAAACTAAGTAAGGAGACCCATTATTCAGCCATATCAACATATAAAATCCGGTCTTATGTGTCCCCAAACGAGTTTGTTGCCCAATGCAGGTCACAACACCATAATAGTGCAATAATGTAAGGCCAATTTAAGGCAAAATGTTGATTACGTAATTTTTTTTTGAGAACTTAGTTTTGATATTATTTTTTGATGAATCGGAAACCGTTGTACGGAGGGAATAATTCGGATATTAGGATAAGAAGGGTAGGTTCAATGCAGAGGTTTGGGTCTGGTTTAGAGTGTCCAGGGTGCTCTAACTGAAAAATTATGCTGCTATTATCATTAAATTAGCATGTTCCACGGTGACGTATAAATAATACTTTAAAAACAAAATTAAAAATTCTAATTTTATCATTTTATTATTCTGCTCGCAGAATTCTGTACAGATTCTGCCACCGCAGTAATATTATCATAGGTTTTCGCATGTAGAAGATTGAAATAGATTTAATAGGTTTAGATTTAATTTTAATTACCTTTTTTTTTCATTTGTATTATATTTTTCATTTTACGATTTTAATTATTTTTTTCTTTCTTTTTTTTTCATTCGTATTATATTATATTTTTTATTTTTAGCTTTTACACGATTTTAATTATTTTTCTTCTTTTTTTATTTCATCTGTATATATTATATCTTTATTTAACTTGTATCATATTTTTTTCTTTTTAGTTTTTTTCACGATTTTAATTATTCTTTCTCATTTTATTTCACTTGTATTGTTTTTTTTTTATTTTTAGTTTTTTCATGAACACTTATAATTTGCGTTATATTTTATTTATTTATTTTCTTGTTTACAATAAAAAACAAATATAACACGAATTCAACATTATTTTAAGTTGATGGTACGTAAACCATGTTAACACACCAAAACTAATCCGTCAAAACCAATAATTTGTCATAAATACTTAACGTTAATAAAAAATTAAGCCAATATTTGTTTCATAAATACTTAACGTTAATAAAAAATTAAGCCAATATTTGTTTCATAAATACTTAACGTTAATAAAAAATTAAGCCACCATATTTGTTTCATAATTAAAAGCTGATAATTTTCGAACATTCTATCCGAATTACCCACTATTCAATTATTTTGTTCACGTTAATAATATATACGTATTAATGAATATTTACTATTTAATTTCATTTAATATACCAGTTAGTAACTATAATTTATTAAATATATTATTAAAATATTCAATTTCTGGATATTTACTACTCCACTTTATCTTATTTGCGTTAATATAAACGTCATTCTAAGTATTTAAAATAAACCATTCAAGTTTTCATGACTATTTAATTCATTAATTTAACTTGTAAGTACGTACGTATAAGGAACATTTATTAACCTATTTAATGTCATACGTAAACAATTCACGTTAATATATTAACATATTTTATTTCATGAACATTTATTTTATTTACACTACGTAATATGGATTTCATTTCATGAATATTTAAACCGTACGCCTCCTACCCAGGTACGTACTTTCAATAAAACCATCAAATTTCCTGAATAGTATACTAATCACGGGAGGATACTATAGTTCTATAGGAGGTACGTACGCACTTTGCATGTTTAATATTAGTTTAATAAGGATTCAATAGAATATAGAAATTTTCTTAAAAATATCCATAGGGTATGGGGTGAATTAAGGTAGATTAGAGTTAGTGTATTTATATGTAAAATTATGCGCTAAGCATTGTTATTTAAGGTATCTATATCAGTTTTCCTAATAGAATTCTGAGATATTAACGATTTTTGATTGTTTTTATACCAGGTGACATACGTACCCATATGGTACAACCAGAAATCCTCTATATATACTGTATATATATGTATATTATGTATATCTGACTATATAGAATAATACGTACGTACGTACGTACGTACGTACTCAGATCTTATTCAGTCTTCTAGACCATGAACTCATGAATTGTGCCTTGGTACTTTTTATGGGATATTATAGAGGAGTACTGGTACTTTTTATGGGGTATTATAGCAGGAGTAATGATACTTTTTATAGGGTATTATAGCAGGAGTACTATAGTCAGTGACATGCGATAATCAATATAATTGACCGTGAATATTCATGAATATTCATGAATATTCACGGTTATGAATAATCACACGAGGTATCTATCCAAAATCCGTGAATATTCAAAATTTGTGAAATATTTACTGAATAATTCTGTAATTAAAATGTTAAAATAAAAAATTCAAATTTATTTAATTTCATTTTAATCGCATTACTTGTAAAGTATTAAGAATATTTATTAACCTATTTAATTTCATGAACCATTTAATATCGTCGTAGGTTATTAATTTAAGTATATAAGGCGTCGTAGCAGATTAATTATTTATATATATATAGATATCCAACATAGTTTTTATACCAAGTAGGTTGCTACAAATACTGTACTATATATCTGCTATGTTACAATTAATCTTGTATAACTATTTTCTATGCTACATTTTGATTGACGACGCCTCATATAATCAAATAAGTTATTCAATTCCATGATTATTTACTAGATACTCAACTTCATTATTGCATTAATATTAATGAATATTTGCTTTCGCAATCGGTACGTAGTTTCAAGAGATACATATAAAGTAATATACAATTTTTTTTTAAATCTTGATAAAATATATTTAGAGAAAGTTAATTGTATTATTAAAACTCAATAAAAATAAGAACATTAGCACTTGATAGATATTAAAAATTTTTGAATGTTAATGGTGAGACCATGTCTCTATCTTTATTGTGGATATTAAAAATTTAAAATACGTGTTAAATACAATATATATTGTTTTAAAAAAAAAAATAATAATAAGCCATTTATTTTATTATTAAAATAACAAAAATAGAAATGCTACGTACGTACGTAGTAAATCTTTGTTAAAAAAATAAAGACACGTACGTACGTACGTATATCGATATTATTCATTTATCATTAAGGTATAGATAACACCATTAATATATATATTAATATATATATAGAACGTATTATTAATCAATTGATTGTCACCTATCTGCGAGAAATCCATTAAAATGATTGGCGTATTCCCTACCCTTGATAAAACTTCATGATAAGATGACTGCAAAAATCAGTCAATGATATATTCTATGTTACAAATTATAAAATAATTGCAACTTTTAATATAGAAAAATATGAAAAACCTTTCTCTAAATTTCATCAACAGATCTCCATTGCATGGGATGAAATGATTATCATTTTTTTGAATTAATATTCATATTCGAGCTTTTTTTATGATGGTGTTTGTAGCCGAACTTTTCCGGTATATGTACTTCCTGATTATCTCAATATCTCATTAAGTATACTAAGATTCTTTTTTTCAATTTTTTTTTCAAAAATTCGATCGATTTTAGTCGACTAAGTCGGCTTTATTGACTAACGCCAAATCGACTGCTAAATGAATGATATTGACAGTATAGCGATAGCGTTCGTCAAAACCTGCTTTGCATTTGATATATAAAGCAAACCCCAAATTGACCTATATTAGTCATCAACAGGATTGATCCAAACCTTATCGTTATCAGTACGTATAACGTAATTTGTGGATATCCTTATTAAATGCGCACTGACCATATTTAGTGTGTAACCAGGAATAATTTACGTATAGAAGTAACAACCGTTCATATGGCTGAGTTTCCTTTAAATAAAATTCTGAAATTACAGCATGAAATCAAATGTTTCTGAATTTGGGATCAGAACAATTTTCATGCTAATCAGCCAATCAGATCGTGAATTTTTGATCACCTCAACGAAATAGAAAAAATAAAAAGGTGTTTAATCTATTTTGGGAAATGTCAGAAAAGAATCTCTTCAATTCTAATTCTAATTAATATTTGTTCTGTAACACTATACCACTTTAGTGCTATAAAAACTTCCGCCACGGTCCAAACACGAGACTCTGACAATAATTGAATCATCAGATGTTTACCTTCAAAACAAAATTAACATCCTCATAAGTAAATGTTTACCTAATAATTAAACATTTTTGTTCGTATTCCCCGCTATCAAATCATTATTTTCACTGACACGTTTAAATGACATGATTTAATTAAATTTCGATTTCCTCTAGAGAATTTATTTGTCATAAAGTGGACTGTTATGGTAGGTCCCTCGATTATATATACATGCAAATAACTTTAATTATTTATACATTTATTTATATATATATAACCATTTAAACCTATTTGATCATCTCATAATAGCTTTTCGGTAACTATATTTTATAACTTCATTCTTTCTCTTTAAAATTTTGTGACGACGACCACTTTCTTATCATAACTTGAACGTCCGAGACGCAAAAAGTTGTTTTAACATGTCTATTCCAATAGGTCTTTCCGCTCAACTTTTGTCACCTTCTTTAGCTAAGCTTCAGCTAAGTAGTTATTTTAACCAACTAAAAAACGAAACCACTTCTCGAAACATTTCTACTCCTGATGTGAGCGATAAACCTACTTCTGTCATTAAGACTGATGAAAAAGACCAAAACTCAACGATAGTTGTAACGAATCCTCATTCTCATCAAAAAAAGAAACTTTCCAATAAATTGAACAGAAAAGACATCGATCGAGCTATTGCTTTCTGTGCTTATGCTGTTGAAGAAGACCATCAAGGAAATCCTGATTGTGCATTGGAACTTTACTTGCTCGGATTAGAACATATTCTCCAAGCACTTCCAGGTATGTTTCATTTTTGTGCATTTGATTAGTATTGTGGGCTAAACCGAAATAGATATTTCGCCTTATAAATTATTTTACCCTGGAGAAATATTTCGTGATTTTTTTTACCATATATTGTTGCGAACTAAAGTAAAATGTACAGAAATGTTTCTCCTCGGTGAAATTATTCACTCTGGAGAAATTTAAAAAGTATTTTTGCCCGCAATATTACATGTATTCTTACTGCGTAAAATATCACATGATTTACGCATGTTTTAATTAGTTCACGCAGATCAATCACGAAGAAATGCTCTAAAAGCCAAACTACTTGATTTTATGGATCGTACGGGGCTGACAAATGATTTCTCCGAAGAAACAAGTCCATCATCCACTAAGGAGGAAAATAACGACTCTGCAACTTCAAAACTATCCGAACACATAATTCAGGCGGCTGTTACAGGGGCTGTAGCACTTAAACAATCGCCGATTCCAGATGCTATATCAGCGACGGTTAATTACACAATGAAGAAAATTAAGGTCATTGATGAGGCTTATGGAATACAAGATAAAGCATGGGAAATTTCTCGATCTGGTATTAATATGGCATTGGAAATTGATCAGCAATATAATGTACATGGGAAAGTCGTAAATGGTTTTTTCTTAGGACTTACGGCTGCTATGAAAGCTGGAATTGCTTATACAGATTCACCTTCATATCGTGAATTAAAAAAATCGCATGTTGATTATAATACAGCTGAAACTGAGCTGATAAAGAATGTTGATGTTGATTAGTAAAGTCGGTTTTTTTCTACAATAATATATATTTTACTTCTCTTTTATGATCTAATATGTAAATGAATAGAGGACTTTTTACTTCTACTACATAGTATTATTTTATTTTCTTTTTATATTTTCTGCGATATAAAAGTCAAAGGGTATTATAATAATGATAAAAAGAAAAAAAGCAAAAGAAAAAAAAAAAACCTGCATTATTCAACCGCCTTTTTGGGGCAACATGTCAGATATATCCATTCCTTGTAGCATTAACTTAGTCTTCATACATAAGCATTATATATATATATATATATGTCAAATACATCCGATACTTTCAGTAACAGCCTTAGTGTTGAATTACCATCCGATACTTTCAGTAACAGCCTTAGTGTTGAATTACTAATAAAGTTTGGACTGAAATTACTTGTAACAATTCGACTTGACTTCTCCAACTACTAGCCAGAATTCATAAGAGTGGCATCAAAAACTTTTGTACAGGGTCATTTATGGTTCTCATGGCGAATAATTATCGTAAGGCATCTGCATTATTGATAACGGATTGATCCGGTAGCTTACGACGATAGTCTGCAAAATAAATTACAATTATATACTTTCTGTCGAATAATAAATGTCGCGGCTGAAGCTTGAAACGGCTGATGCTTGAAATTAGGGACCTCGATTTAAAAATATAAATCCTACCAAAATCCATTTGTACATTTTAATTATCAAAACTAACCCTAAATTCTAAGTCAACTATAAAAAAAAAGCTAAAAAAATGCACCCCGAAATTTTTTGAAAATTTCATATTAAAATATTTAAAATTTCAAGCATCAGCCGTTTCAAGCTTCAGCCGCGACAATAAATTTATTCGGCAGACAAATCATAGTAAGTTGCCGGGTAATAAAGATTTTCATCTAATTTGATTGCGGCATATTAACTTGGCGTGAAATAGATTAATTTAACATGCTTGGATGTATGCCTGACAATTAACATTTCAATTCGATAACTGGAATTCTAACCTATGTTCTCAATGTTATGCATATGATATTTTAAGTCTCGTGTCATTTAAAATTTTGCTAGCTTTTTTAGGGATGGTAAAGTTCTTAGGTTCTGAACAATAAAATCTGACTTTAGAACCTAGTTTTTAAAACCAGGTTTTAATTTTGGAATAATTTTTAATAAGGTTCCAATAAAAGCTTGTTGCCGGTGGTTGGAGTCGTAGTTAGAACTGTGGAGTTGCTGCGTCATATCCTTTTTTTTTTTTTTTTACTAACGCTTTCTTTTTTTTCAGGACGTTTTTTTTTTTTTATCCTTCGGTTCATCTGGGCGAGACAAATTAAATGGTTTAAGAATCATTAGACTCTATTTGATAGACTGAAATTAACATCGATATTATGTAATCTGCCCCCCACCACATATGATCTTTGCTATTAAATGATCCTCCGAATCATTGTTACACGAGATTTTTATTAAGAAAACATAGTAAATCTATTTTTAGAAAAAAATTCATAGTAAAGACCCCATATTATCTCCCTCTACCTTACAAAGTCAAAATGTTATTAAATAACATATTAAGTGTCGCGGCTGGTGCTGAAATTGCCTAATACTGAATTTGGGGTCTCGATTTGAAAATATAAGCCTTGCTAAAATTCACATATACACTTTAATTATAAATTCTAGCTCCAAAAAGATCAGGAAAAAAACACCACCAAAAAATTTAAATTTTCATATCAAATTTTCAGTTCAGCGCGACATTAAGTAACGTTATTCAGAAGATCAAAAAATATATGAATTGACTTTTATTAATATATTTTGATTGTCTATGTCTTACAAAATATTGGTTGGGTTTGTAACTTATTATATAAATAACCTAGTTCTTAGGTTTTAATTTGGAACCTAAATGCTTTACAATATAAACCAAACTTTACCATCCATGAGCCTTTTTTTCAACTATATTCCAAAATTCGGTATAGGCTTCGGAATCCTTATGTCGCAATTCTCGATGAATCTAAAACCACGATATTTTTAATGCTATATTTTGACTTTTGAATTTTGGAAGTTCTCAAATGAAAATCTACATACGTTTATACACTGAACGTTCCTCCAAGTAACATTCTTTTTAATTTCATCATGACTATACTTAAAATAAACACCTGGGACTGCGATGACCAATAGATAGGCAGATGTTAAAATAAATGTTATAAAATTCTTAAAAAAAAAAAAAAATTATGTTACAAAAACATACCACGATTGAACGTTTCTTGTGGAGTTTTCCACAGGTATTTCTTAAATAACCACTCGCTTCCATCGGTAATAACGCAAACCACTCGACTCCTGCAAGTAATATATACAGGTTATAAATTACTCGATGTATGGGTCTATTAAAATTTTGTATTCTAACCAATCTGATTGCTGTAAATTATCAACTGAATCTATAAACTCGTATGTCTTTCCATTTCGACAAATTTTAATAGAGTGTTCCCGTTTTTGATTATGACGAAGACTGGCCTGTTCCTCAAATCTATAATAGTCACAATTAATTAGCTTCATATTTAATGTAAATGCGTACCTTATCCCATTTTGTTTCTTATATAATATGCACATTCATACCTTGCGTCTTGTAATAATTGTTTGATATTATACATGGTTACGAATGCAGAGGGTGATGGCGGTACTAAAATTAGTGGGTTTTTAGGCACCTTCGAACCTTTAGCGTAATATATATCTTTTTACCATTGTGTTTTATTATTTACAATCCATGAAAATTAGTAAATTGTAATACTACTTTGTCGCGCATCTGAACGATAATGCGTTCGCGCAAAAGGATCTGACGTACGAGGATGGCCAGCTATAAAAATAAAATCAAATAAACAAACTTAGGATAAATTTGTCGATTTTTATATTTTGTATTGCAACAAGCTTACGTCTTTCTTGAGCTGACTGATCACGGCTTTTTGGTTTAAGGAAATAGAGATCCGCCAATTGAATCATGTACGAATAGTTCTTGGAATTACAAAAGTGCAAAATTAGATAATTTTGAACTTTCTAGAATCATCAATGAAATACTTTTATCTATACCTCTTCTTTGTCTTTACTCTCCAATGATTCCTCCCATGAAGAATTTGAAACAGCTAAATGTTTTTTCATATGAGTCTCCATCCAAATTTTGTCCTTATCAAAACGCGCTTTCTTTTGTCTTTTTATTTCCGCTGCATTTTGATGATCCTTGTCTACCGAATTATCGTGCCTACGCTTTTCTATATCAGAGAAGGAATAAGCTGAATGATTAAAAATTATTACCATTTTTTCAATATGCCTAATTACCTGAGGTTTTTCCAAATAAGTTCCTATCGGAATCATTAGCCAAAGGTGAAGAGCCACTGACAAAACTTAACCATTGTTTTCTTTCAGTATAATTTAAACGTATGGTAAATTTTTCTTCTGTAGCATCTTCATTGTATTTAGTAAAATCCAGTTCCCTTGTTGTGGTAGCGTGATAAAGAACGGATAAGGGAAAGTACTGTTGTGAAAGTCCTTGAAAAGATGTAGCTATCATATTTTTATCAAATCGAAAAGAATCAAATTGTATGTATGTAGCATCTTGAAGTCTAGTAACAACGTTATAACTTTGATCAAGAAGCTGAGGTGTTAAATTATTAGCAGTATAATGCTTTAAAAGTTGTAGTGGATCGGTCTCTTTGGTATCAGTCATTTGTGTGTTAATATTGCTTTCTTTATGTACAGTAGAACCCGGATAATACTAATACAGTAATAGAGGTGAAATTATTTGTTATATTTTCTAAAGAGAAAAATGTGTTCTCCCACAAAAAATTGTTCACCCTTGTAATTTGACCAATCGAATTTCAAGATCAGGTGTGACGTAAAAATCTAAACGAAACCACAATAGCTCTAAATTTTAATTAGGAAATCACCTTCTGCGTTCTAATTAAAAATGTTCCTTTACTGACGGAAATCATATTATCCTAGCCCTAACTATAACACGGTTTTCTTTAATTTGCACGCTACTTTTTATTTAATCACGTTTAGGGTACAACAAAAATTGGCTAAAAAACCCTTCAAACACATTCGCGCCAAATTCAATCTCGATAAATTACCTCCAAATTAAAGGCAATACCAAACAACCCCATCGAATTTCCCATTACAGTTGAAGCATAAGTTACCAAAAATCTAAATAATATATATATAGAACATGAACTGCTTTAGTAGGTTTATTATGAGGATAAAAAACCCTCTATATGGTAATGTGTGTCCACTTTAAAGTCCTAAAAGGCTTTTACAACAATTCCTCTTTGAGAAGAATATCTGTTGATAATGCTAAGTTGATCAGAGGGTTTAATTGGATAACCCAAATAATAGTGGATTATAGATACAGCATCTAATGTAAAACCTAGTAATAGGCAAACTACTTAAATTAGGCGCTCAAAAGACGCAGGCATGGCTAGAATGTACCCTCGTTAATGTAACAAAAGTCAGGAGCGGCCCATGTGGCTGTCCTGGCATTTGAACCAAAGCTAATAAAATGTGCCAGACCCCTAAGTGGTCACCTTAATATTAAAAAAAAAAAAAAAAAAGTAAATTTATTTAATTAGCTCAGTTTGAGCTTTATATGACCAAGTAAATATATAATAAATATATCTAGCCAATTATATTTATTTATAATCATGTGACTGGTAGGCTATCGGTATTTTAAATCTGATAACCTCTCAAAACTGATACAAAAGCTATACACTATGCCTATCAGATTTGAGAAAGTGTACTATATCACACTTATAATAACATTATTAAGTATTGTAACTTTACTTTACTAAGTGATCAAATAGTATATTCCTGTTTAAGATTTTTATTAATGTATATAAAGATTCTATTTGTACAATATCTTGTAGTTTAGAGTTAGCAGCAATACTTTTACAAAAAATATTTTTTATTGTCTAAGATAAAGTACTAATAATGAATTAACATATATTTAAAACTATAAATTAGACTTTAAGATATTTTATAAAAGCAATAGACTAAACTTTAGAAAGCAAATCATTTAGAAATAAAGTTGTATTGTTAGAGAATGACTTCTAGCAAATTCTTCTAATAATAAAAAGGAAAGAAGAAAAAACATTGTAAGAGTCTGTTGTAATGTAACAAGTTAGACCTTTGGTTAACAAGTTATCTTACTTGATTAATTGTATAAATAGTTAAGAAATGTGTTTATATAATTTATAAAAAAAAATAATTTATAGATAAGATAAAATATTATTGACTTATTACTATAGCAATACTTATAAAGAAAGATTATAATCAACAAAGTTTATAGACAAAAGATAGATTTATTAATTCAAATAATACTCAAAAAATAATACAGATAAAACAAATTTATAACTCAAGAAAAGTACAATAGTTTTCAAAAAAATATCATAAAAAAGTGATTTATTTCCAACAAAAATAATATAAAATACCAAAAATAAAACTTATTCCTAATATAAAGTTATAACAAATAAATATAAAATCTATTTTCAAGATCAAAGTGTATAATAACAAGATTATAGCAACCAAAATATGAGGACTAACTGTCCAAAACTACTAAAAGACAAGGACTAACTGTTTTTTGTCTTGAGAAAAAAGGCAGAGTTTAAATATCTTTTTTCGGTATATAAAATTACTATAGAACATAATAATTAATTAAGAAAAAGCATCTTTTATTAATAAAAAAGCACTTTCTACTATAGAATAGTTATTTTTAGATAGTGGATAAGCACTTTTAAATAGTGGATAAGCACTTTAGAATAATTAAAATTAGAGATTTAACATCTTTTATTATGGTAAAAGCACTTTTCCTTATAGGATAGACACCTTTTAATATAGGATGAGAACCTTTTAATATAGGATAAGCATCTTTTAATATAGGATAAACACCTTTTGATATAGTAAGAGACTTTTGCTATTATGGGTTTGTTTAGCTTTGTTTATCCTTAATGTTGTTGTTATATTGTTCTGAACTATCCTAGAGTACTATTTGTGTTTATGTATCTTGATCTGGGTTTTATTTACATTAAATAAACTAATAAATTAATTAATAATCTGCCTATGAACTAGAGAATAGGCGAAATGAGATGTCTGTCATCTAAAACTTTTTTTCTTACAAGTTAATGATATATGTTTATTAATTAAAAGTTGTAGAGCTTGTTGAGATGCATTTAACAGTGGTTAGATCATCCAAACTGGCCCAGTGGATAGCGAGATATCATCAAAATACAATTGGCCAACTATATAAAAATCTGTGACAGAAATTACATATGAAAATCATCATTGGTGAAACATGGCATACTCCCATCTAAAACTTTTTTTCTTACTAAGTTAATCGCTCTTGTATATTAACTTAAAATTGTAGAGCTCGTCAAGATGCATCTAACAGTGGTAAGATCATCCATATCGGCCCAGCCAATAGCAAGATATCGTTGAAAAATGATTGGCTGACTATATAAAA